TGTCGTTCAAGTACCTCTCTCCCCCCCCCCGCGGGCCCAATGCAGTTCGCCGTACTCACCCGCATTGACATAGTAGCCGCCAAACACGATCCACACGAGCATCACCGCGGGCCCTATGGCCATCGCCGCCTCTGTGGTGGGCGCCACAGAGCCCACCGCCAGGCCGAGAGCCTGCAGGGGATTGGGCCCGAGTACGGCAGAAATGTAAAAAGATCAAGATAGTCGTTGGTACGACCACAACGGTCATGGCGATGGCACGCCAGATGTTATGCAGCAAAAGTCCGTCTCTCTCCTCTCAACAGACATCCCATACACAAAGACACACGGGACATACAAACGTCTGTGTCTGCGAATCTATTGATATAATATATATATTATATCAATTTTGTGTATGGGATGTATATATATATATATATATATTATATCAATAGATTCGCAGACACAGACGTTTGTATGTTTGTATATATATATATATATATATATATATATATTGATATATATATATATATATATATATATATATATATATATATTGATATATATTGAATATAATAGTATAAATACGAATCTCCACACGTTCATACTTCCAAACATTTAATTGTTACGTGTTGTATAGTCGTACAGTCGTACACGCCGTCGTACGCACCTGCGACGTGAAGGACTCCAGCGTGAGGATCCCAAGGAACTTGGCGAATCGCGGCAGGGAGGGGTGCAGGCCGCAGGCGGGATACACGAGGGCGCCGAACAGCAGCGGGAACAGCGCACCTAGGGGCACGGTGTGTTTTGGGTGGGCGCGGGGAAGAAGGGGAAGGGAAGGGGGCAGGAGGAGGGAGAGAAAGAGAGGTTGACGCGAGCTGTCGACGAGCAGAGGGAGAGAATCTTAGCATGCTAAACGACTACAACTGTCATGTGGTCGTACATGTACGAACTACGTGACATGTGTTTAGTCCTCAGGTGGTCACGGGACGTGTCGGACCCCGCGGATGCAGCGGGTGCAGCTCCCCCCGTGTTTTCCCCCAGACCAACCCCCTCTCCCCCCGGGGCCCCCTCTCCTAGCCACCCAGCCCGCACCAGCCACCCTGAAGAATCCACCAAGGAAAGCCCCGTGGCCCAACTCACATCCTCACCTATACATACATACACACATACATGCGAGACATGAATTGCCGCTTGTCAACCGTCAACCACCAACCGGTAACAGGGAACTACTGGCCCAAAGGCCCGCCCGGACTCACCCACGGGCAGCTCCGCCGCCAGCTTGGCCGACAAGTACGGCAGGATGCCGTACGACTGGCGGGCGCGTTCCCGCGCCACGATAGTTCTCTCGCGGGGAAAGATGTTGAGCGTCTTGACCAGGGAAGACATAGCAGTGTTGATGGCGGCCACCTGCCGTACGACAACCGTACAAAAGCACATGTCACACGTCATCGGCTTCACGACACGCGTCACGAGAGCGTTGGCCATGTACGGCACAGAACGCGTGCTCCCGCAAAACGGGATACAATGAGGATAATCCTTTGCTCTGAAACCATTCACGCCTCAGCAGTCCAGAGACCAGACACGCTAAACGCCGGCGCGTTCTTACACATCCCAAATAGATCTCATACTCTAGTTCTGGCTGCCGTACAATAAAGCCCTAGGCGAACTGGCGGCAAAGCTTGGTAATATAACCAAAGATATATCGTTTTGTGTTGTCGCATCGTGTCGTACCCCACCTTACCTGGAGCAATCCCATCCGATCTTGAATGCTGGACTGGCCCCTCTTCATTCGAAAGAAGATGGCTCCGAAGACCAGTGCTGAGGACAAGTTGGACATGGCGCGAGCTACGTTGGTGGCCTTGTCGCGAGTGACCTGCGGGCACCGGCGGCGGCGGGTTAGGCGGCGGGGGGTTAGGCGGCGGCGGCGGCGGCGGCAGCGACGGCGGCAGCGACGGCGGGGCAATGGTGTAGAAAGGGGAAAACACTTAGCTGTGTGCGTGTGTGTGCGTGTGTGTGGACGGAACATTTCAATAACAAATATAGCAGTCAACAAATCGTCAGGCGAAGTGCCTGCTGCTGCTTGCATTAAAAAGTACGCCTCTACTGACGGACGGACGAAACAGGTGGTCCATCGGAGGGATAGCAGACGGTCTGCAGACCGACTCACCGACATATGTACGGACATACATAGTAATATAGACAGACAGACAGACAGATAGACAGACAGATGCTCCTGCCGCAGCCGCGGCAGCCTACCTGGCGCCATGACCGGCTCAGCAGCAAGCTCAGCTGCCGTACAGGGCCCGCCCGAGGCAGCAGGGCCGCCCGCCGCATCACCCCCTCCGCCGCCGCAGCATCCCCACCCGCCGCCGCTCCGCCATTGCCGCCGTTGCCTCCGTACGCTCCGCTCTGCTCTATAGCCCGCCACGCGGTCACCAGCCTTTCCAGCCTAGCCCTACAGCACGGAACCCCCAGAAAATAGCCCACTCAAGCACAATGTCGGGGGTCTACCCAGGAATCGAACCCAGGACCTCAAACGCAGTAGTGTCCATCCAGTGCAGCACGTAACCCAAAAAAATAACCCACTCAAGACCCACAGAAACGGAAAATATAAACCCCAAATCCAAAACCCACGTCCCCACCGCACCAACAACCTCAGCAAAATAGAAACCACCAACCGAAAACTGCCCACGTGGACGTACGATGTCTGTCAGTTGTGTCCTGTAGGTTCGTTCCCGCTTCCCTCAAACCCCACCCGTCTTTACCTGCTCTCCGCCTCCGCGTCTTTGTTGGCGAAGTCGATGGAGATGAGGTCCGCCAAGAACTCCGCGGGGTTGTAGTGCTCCGGACACACATGGCCCAAACTGGCAAAATGATCCAGAGCCTGTTTAGGATATACAAGGGGTAATGAGGCATTGTTGAGGTATCATTGAGGTATTCTTATTAAGTTATTATTGAGGATTATTGAGTTATTATTGACGTATTCTTAAGGTAATATTAATAAGGTAAGAATACTGAGGTATAATTGAGGTATTATTGAATTATTATTATTTATTTATTATCATTGATGTAATATTGAGATATGGAGGTATGGGGGGTTGACTCTAAAGGTTTTGTCCTGGAGGTGCCCTTGGTGCGGACAGGCCGAGGATGGTGGATGGTGGGTCAATGAATGGCTGACAGTGAGGGGGAGCTGGACACGTACCACCACGCCCCCATTGCTGCCGCCGCCAATGCCCCCAAACAAGTGGTGTGGTGACACACCTTGTCCGCCGGTCCCGAATACACGGGCTGTCCCTCCGACAGCAGTACCAGGTCGTCGAACATGGCGAAAATGGACGAGCGGGGCTGATGTACGGAAGCCACCACCGTGTGCCCCGATCGCGCCAGGGAGGATAACGTGGCCATCACCTGAAACCGCGCCACGTCAGACGTCACCGTACCCGTGCGACAAAGATGACAGAACAGAGGGACGACGAATGTGCCGTATCTTGTCAGTAGAATGTACCGTACTGTAGTACATGTGCCGTACGAATCGTCCAGGGCGCTGTTCGAAAGAAAAATATTTTGCATCAATTAGGGCGCGGTGCGAGGCTGTGCACAGTATTAGTTGTCACTCAGTACTGCACAATCCAGATGAAGTCTAGGAAGAAACGTACTGCCTCGTGAGGCGCGGGTGACACTGTATACGACAGCCGTACAAAATAGCCGTACGGCCTTGCAAATTGCGTATATTAGCTGTAATTGCATACCTTTTCTGCCTGGAAGGAGTCGAGCCCCGTGGTCGGTTCGTCGCAAAAGATGAGTGAGGGCGACCCGACCAGCTCACAACCGATACTCAACCGCTTCTTCTCACCTGAAATACATCGTACAGTGTCGTACCATACCGTACCGTTCAATGTAAAGCCATATAAAATTCATGTACAGCCATATACAATTCAACTTTGACAGGAAAAGAGCGCATGAACACGATGCGGGCAAACATATTCCATGCACCCACGAACCGACAGACATACAGACCCACACACTGCTCATCCATCTCCTCTGCTCTGGTGAGACCCCTTTCCTAGCTCCCAAGCGCCGCCGTCTTCTCAAACTTCTCAAACATCCACCTTCCTTCACCCCTGCTTCTTGAGTGCTCTTCCTTTCCTCCTGCCTGCGGCTCCCTCCGCCTCGCAATCACCTGTCCTCTGGCACCTGCCCTCCGGCACCTGCCCCTGCCCTCCTGCACCTGCCCTGCCCCTCCCGCCACCGCTCTCACCTCCGCTAAGTCCACGGTTCTTCTCATCCCCAACCCTCGTGTCCCCCGCCTTGCTCAAACCCAGCATGCCCGCCAGCTGCGCCACGTAGGCGGCCCGAGCGTCAGGGGACATCTCGCGGGGGAGCCGCAACTCCGCAGCTAGGGAGAGAGTCTGGAAAGAGAGGGGAGGAAAGGGGGGGGGAGGGATTGGAGGGCTATGGCGAGTATGGTGTGGCGCGGGACGCGCGGGGGGGATGGGAAGAGAGGGGGAAGGCTCAGTGCTATGCCTTAACAACGGAAAAAACACATACAACACACGCATACGCGCGCGCTCTCGGGCGCCTCACTCACCTCCTCGACGGTGAGCATCGAGAAGAAGAGATCTTCTTGTTGGACAAAGGCCTTATGGTCGCGTAGTTTAGGAAGAGAAGGAAAGCAGAAGGAAAGAGAGGGAAAAAATCAGTCCAGCAGTGTTTTTTTATAAATACTGCCTTGCCTCCAAAAATATGAAGTTTTAACTTTATTCAAAATTCAAACTGACAGCAACAGCTGACACCAATATTTAGCCCAGCCAGCACAGCCGGTACCTGGCGGTGTCCCGCCTCCGCAGCCGGCCTGCCGTTGACCGTCAAAGATCCAGTCAACTCCATTTTTGAATTGGCGGGAACTCGTCCCGCTAGCGCCGTAAGCAGGCTTGTCTTGCCGCTGCCGCTGGGACCCATAAGGCCCACGAGCCTGTACGATAGGGGTACACACGTGTTTTGTGGATTCACGTGGTTACCATGGTACATAGAGATTTCAAAAGATTGCTTTTCGTGCAAGGTTTGATTTTCAGTATGGTTTAAAGGTTCAAGCACGTGCGAGCCAGCGATGGCGCGTTGGTGCTGATGTTGAGTCGAAACGTCAACTAAAACATTATGTTGGCAGCAGCCACAGTCGCAGATATGCTCCTGGTGTGATTTGGTATATCATCACACCAAAATGATACGTTAGTGTGCTGGAGGGGGACTCTATGCACAGGGGGACGAGGTTGAGGGCGCAACGGACGCATGCATTAGGGGAATCCCGAGACGAGATGGACGACGCGGAAAGGACGAGACAGGACGAGACAGGACGAGACAGGACTCGGCTCATGCAGGGGTGTTGGGGGTCGGCCGTGTATAATGCGGAGTGTGAGTTTGTGGCTGCAGGCGGAACACAGGAAGGTGAGAGGATATCATCACCGGCATCACCGGCATGTTATCATCGATGTTGTTCTTAGCATTCTCGTGTGGGCATGCGGGTATTGGTTGAGACACGCATAGTTAGGATGCGCGCACCCAAGACCAACCGAAACCGAACAACTGAAACGGAATGTACGAATGAGGCTTTACCTGCCGGGACGCGCTACACCTGACACGCCACGCAAGATAGGTTTGCTGGTTCCGTCCTTTAGTTTGAGGCTGCAATGCAGATCAGTCCAGGACAAGGTGACCGGGTCGATGGCATCCTCAGCGAGCAACTCCTCATATTTGGCCTCCAGCTTCGCAGTGCTTTCGGATTTTAGCTGCGCGGCCTTTCGTTGCCGCCTGCGCTTTGCAGCGCCCAGCGCGGCCCGCAGACCGGTGACGGCAAGTGCCGTGGGTATGCCGATGTGCGTCGGCGCCACGATGGCCAGTGCGCCCAGAAGCATGGTGGATTGATTTGTAAGGAAATAAAGATCTTTCTTGCCGACACCGAGCCGTAAATGGGCTATCTTACGTTAAGACAGCTGCCGCGGAAGCTAAACTAGCTGAGTCCTCGGATTTGGTCTGAACTATATGACATCACACTCACAATTGCACTTGTTCAGAACTGTAATCACAATTTAGCACGACGGCCTAGATCAGGGCGTCGGGCTTGTCTATGGCAGAATGCGGTACATCGGCTTGTGCACAACCCCAGAATTGTACCTAGAAGGGCCGATCTGGGAGATCCCTACATATGCCGACATGATCTAAGCACATGCATAAAGTTATGCCGATATCGTAGGTCCCAAGCGATGCTTCCGGACCTTCCGGCATTTGCTTGCTTACAATTACATTTCTCACAGATCTGGATGTTTTCAGCACAGAAAACGTAATTAATTATTTCCCAGTCTGGAGGTCCGTAACCGATAGCTGACGGCATCAATGCTGGCATTAGAACGGCACCGATGAATTCGCAAACCTCAGTCAGTCCCAGACAGAACGCGATGACCTACGGAAAACAAACGTACTCACACCTGAAGTGATAACACTCTTTGCCGATACGTCGGCCGGAATGTCGGCCGAGGAGGTTGCGATGGAATTGGGCGTGGACCTTCTAAGACACCGGGTTCAACGCATGCGGCATGCCTACCAGCCACGGTTTAATATGCGATCGATTCAAGCATAGCGTTCCTTCGGTTCCAACTTATTAAGGGTGCAATTGAGTTCATCGCTTTCAGTTTCCCGATACGGGACTCACGTCCATGCCACAAAGACTGGCGCATCGCAACGCAGAGCTGCCTCGCCCAAGAGTACACGACAAAGCCCAGACACAACAACGCTGGCGCGCAAATGCAATATCCTTGTCAACACCAGACACAAACCAACTTCTCTCAAATATTCGCTAGCACAACCTCAACAAGTTCTCATGCAGCGACACCGTTCTGTCTATATCACGGAAAGTTCAACCCATTCAAAGCACTCTTCGTCTCCTTCTTCCTTGCTTCTTACTCTCCTCCAGGGAACGTGCTCAAAAAAGCCAATCCGAATCCAACATCGGACATAATCAACAACTACTACACCAAGGAACCCTAACTCCCCCAAGTTACCCACTACCCCACTACCTACAGACCCTCGCTCGGGGCCCTCTCTTCTCTCCCCTCACAACAACCCCACGCCCCCCAAATAAACTGCCCTACCGCTACCGCTGATCAACGCCCGCGCCTCCCTTTGGCCGCTGCTGCTGTCGCCGCCGCCGTCGCCGTGGCTGCAGCAGCAGCAGCGGCCTCCACACGTGCCGAGGCCAGCGCTCGCTCCAACTGCGCCGCCACCAAGTCCATCTGTTCGTCGCAACCCAAATAGCCCCGTCGCCGTAGCTCCAGAACCATACATCTCAACAACACTGTCAGCACCCGCATCTCCCGCGCCGTTGCGCCATCGCCGCTACCGCCCCCGGGCTGCAAATCCCGGCCGGAGGCGCACTCAGCCGCGGCAGCTGCCGCCGCAGAAGCAGCGGCCGCCGCTGCGGCCGCCCTGGCCGCGGCAGCCGCCGCAGACGGCATCTGAATCCGAACCACTCGGGCAGGTACTTGCTCCCACGCCAACGAGTACAGCCCTCCTTTGCGTCGTGACGGCGGCGGAGGCGGCGGCCCTCCTCCTCCTTCCCCTCCAGTTCCACTCGTCTTCACGCCTGATGATGACGACCCAGATCCGCCACCATTCTCCTCCGGGTCTACTCCTCGGTCGCTGCCGCTGCCGGGAGGGCCACCAGCAGCGCCGCTGCCGGGAGGGCCACCAGCAGCGCCGCTGCTGGCCCCGTCATTTGGGAGCAGCTCCCTCCTTCCCGCGACCAAGCCAGTAAGCTGCAGCGGCCCCGGCAGCGCCCCAGCGGGACTCAGTAAACCCATTAGAGAGCTCCGTGCGTCCTCTGAGTCACGTGCCAGGTTGCGTGCGACATCTAAGCTGAGACCCAGATCCGCCGCCGCAGCTGTACGGCTGGCAGCCACATCCGCCGCCGCCGCCGCCACGCCCACGTCCGACGCTGCCCCCGCACCAGCAGCATCCACGTCCGGCCCGGTTCCGGAGCCGCGACTGCTGTTGTTGCTGCTGCTGCTGCTGCTTGAGTGAGGTTGAGGTCTTCCACTGCTGCCGCCGCCGCGGGAGACGTTCTGATTGCTCGAGGCAATGGAAGCAGCAGCAGCAGCAGCGGCCGCAGCCGGGCCATCCCCGTCTGCGCCCTTGGCGCCAGGCGCTTGTGAAGCTGGGCTCGAGCTTCCTGTGAAGCGAGGAGGAAGATCAAGTCCAGTGCCAGTGTCAGAGGCCCCCGGGTGAATGGCGGCCAGATTCGTCATCTCGCTTTCCAGGGTTCGCGCATCCGCGCTGCTACTGCTGCTGCTGCTGCCGCTGCTACTGCTGCCGCTGCTCAGGGCCAGCTCTTCTGCAACACCACTGCGGTAATCCTTACGTTCTAGACCGCCTAGAGCAATGCCAGTCGGTGGGGATGCGGGGTTGCGGTCCGCCACCGCTGCCGCCTCTGATACTGCGTCGCCCGGCAGCTCGAGCAATCTCTTACGGCTGAACATGCGACCCAAACCGCTTGCAGAGTCGGGGTTCCTGTCGCCTGCTCCGATGGGCTCGGCGCCGTTGCTGCTGCTACTGCCGGCATCACCGGGGGCGCTGTACCTTCTATTCCTGTTGTTGCTGCTACTGCTGCTACTGCTGCTGCTTTCGGTGCTACTGCCAAATGGGATTTCGATCCTTGATGATGCTGCTGCTGCTGATGATGATGGCGGCGCTGTTGGGGCCCCCAATGGTGGACCGCCCGGGCTCCCACCTGTTGAGCCAGAAATCCCACTGCCACTAGCTATGGCCCCACTGCTGGCCTTCATCACATCGCCAGTAATGCTGCTATAACCATCACCGGCGATTCTGCCCCCCTTAGCATTATCCACAGCATCATCTGACAGAGATGAACCCTTCGGCGGCTCACTGACTCCAGCGATTGTCGGCGTCTGAACAGGCGCGGGGCCAGCTAGAGATGGCGGTGGCAGCGCCCCGCCTGAGCCAGATGCCGCCGCCGGCGCCGCCGCCACCGGCGCTTCTGCCGCTGCCACCGTCGTATGCGCGGTGTGTTTGTCCACGACCTTGGCTGCCAGTGCCACGTCGCCCCTTCGCACGCGGACCAGCTCCCCGCCCAGGAGCCCTGCGGGGTCACCCCAGCCAGCCAGCACGCAAGGGCAGAGCCACAGGTGCGCACGCACTTACACGCAATATGGGCACACAACATACGTACACGGCCACATACGCCAACCATTTGACATGCAGAGACTTTAGCGCGATGTTTATCTATCTAGTGGGTCGCGATGTCTATCTATCTAGTGGGTCGCGGTGTCTACTTAATGTACACGGCAGCCGGAAAAAGGTCATTGCTCAGTCCGTACCAGGCAAATAAGTAAATGGAGAAAAACTTGGCTCGCAGCTCGCCCGAGTCGTCATGACAACACACACAGCACGAGCAAGCATGACAACATATCATGTTAAAGTGTCGTACCAATGTACTGATGGAGCTTCTCCGCCAGTGCCAAGTTGTTTTCTCCTCGGGACGTGTTCCGACGTAAGGCTTGGAGGACCAGCCGGCGAGTCTGTGAGGTCACCAGTTCCATCCAGCGCCATGTTGATTCATGGTTCCAGATTTGTGGTTCGGGAGACACTTGGGTTAGCGGAAATTATGGGATTTTTTCCTTCCTGACTTCTCCCATCCTCCGGACACCCATCCCACCTGCGCCTCCTCTTGGCCAGCGGACCGGTCTGATGCCACTCCCAGGGGGTTGGGATCCAGCGCACCGTCACTGACAGGGTGCCGCTGCCGGGTTCCCAGCTCACGAGCCCCAGGTTGCTCTGCAGATGATGGACTGCCGGTCATTCGGGCATTGCTGCCGGTACCGGCTACGGGGATGTTGTTCTCGGCCGTAGCGGCCCCAGCGGCAGTAGCAGTGCCGTACCGGCTGCGATCCGAGCGTAGGGCCCAGTGGCCGGTGTCGTCGGGTCCTGGCGCCACCGGGGCCCCATTCGCTGTGCTGCTGGTCCAGGTCGGAGGATTCACGCGTGCGCGGTAGTCCTTCAGGTTTTCCAACCTCGCCATCAGGCGCTTACTTCGCGCGGTGCATTGCTGAGCTGCGGGGTAGAAGAGGAGGGTGATGGTATTCATGAAACAAAGACGGTTGAAGGAACGGATGCCATGGAGGTGGTTGCGGGTGGGGATGGCGTTCGGAATGTGGTGCAGGTTCGGATTCTGAGGCGCTGCGGCGGCAGCTGTGCTGGGTGCGCAGTCCCAGATTGCGGAACTGACCTATTGAGAGGGACTCTCTTTTCTCTGCTTCCAGGAGTCGCATCTGCTCCTCCAGCAGGCGCTCTGCCTCTGTTAGTAACCATCGCGAGTCCGAAGTTGCAGAGGCTGGTCGGCCGGCAGTCGAGCGATATAAAAATTGTCTGTTTGCTTTGCAACGACTGGCAAGCCGTGTAGGGCACACTGATGTCGGGTACTTGGTTGCAGGTGGACGAGCTACAAACGTTGGTTGGATAGGCCAGCTCATTTCGTGGGCCCACAGGAAGTGAGAATAAGTTGGCTCTTGGTCATTATTTATACATTCACACAGCGGCCAAGTTTCTTGCTCCCTCAAGAATTGGAGCTTCTGGCTTCGGAGCTCCTGAGGATGTCTGGTCATCAGCCATTCCAAGTGCATAATAAGGATTAACTATATTTTATCTGTAATTCTGATATTGATAACTGTGTCTATCAGGAGGTAGCAGGTCCTGTGCAATGATGCAAAACTCGGGTTCGTGTCGTACCTCCGACGAACACCCCATAACACTGCAAGCACTAGTTGCCGTTCTGGCTCCCCCTCTAGGGATTGCTTTATCGCACTGTGAGTCCAATCCCGCACCTTATTTACTCAGTTTTTCTTGAAGCGGTTCGTCTGAACCGTACGAGCTTTTCGAGACATGTTAAAGGACTAGGATATGGAAAACACCAGCACTGGGCCCCCAAGCTGCAGACGTGCTAGTAAAACACTCAACACTAAAACAAACATGGTATCATTATTGTCATGTATGGCAACACTGAACACCTTTATACTCTTCCAGCAACGTGCCATGAGGCCTTGGTGGCCATCACTGGAAGACCGTTTACATTTGGGCTTGACGACCCTGACTGTGACTTCAATAGAGATTTCAAACTCACGGCTACGAGTTAACTCTCCGTCCTTTTTATTATAGTGTAATCTGCAGAGGGTAAGCATTTAGTTGGCATAAAAGATTGAACAAAGCATCTCCAACCCCGGGAAGACGTGTTTAACATAGAACCCAGAGTGTTGAACTCCGTTATTGCATTCAAATTAAAAAACGTTTGCCCGACGGGTGCCTCAGTATCTTGGTTTGAGTGGCTTGCTGCGAGTCGACATTGAATGACGCCGCCGCAATGGTTATTATTAGGCTCTGGACGGGAGTCCTAGTACTCGAAAACTGGCTATTGCCAAAATAGGCTAATGACTGGAGTCGACTGATGAGGCGAATGGATTTGGGGGATCAGAAAAGGGAAAGGGGACAAGCAGAGGGATGAGGCGGGAGAAGAGGCGGCTGCGAGTGAAGCTATACCCCGCTGTAATTGCCGTCCGTACACTCTCATGGGTATAAAATATACCTGAGCCTGATGATGGACCTTCCCATGGTCCTACTTCTGGGGGAAGACTCAGTTGCAATGTCATTAACAACGCCTACTATTGCTGATGAGCTATATGCGCATTTTAACCTATAGAGGCCTTACGATTCAAAACCTAAAATTCGAAAATGGCTGGATGAGTGATCCGCACGTTTTCAGGAATTTTATGTGTACTGTGCACGTGTGCACGTGTACGGAAAATCCGTGCTTTTCCTCTTGTAACCTGATCAAAACAGCCAACTACGCGTCCATGTTTGCAACCAGCTTTGCATGTACCCTAACTAGCTACTGCTAGCTATCACGACGGGGGCGAGCGATGTTTGAACTGCATCATCCACGAGGAGGGGGCGTTGCTGCGTAAAGGCCATGCCGTACTTGCGATTCCCAAATACTTTCAGGCTGCCAAACAGCTTTAAGGCCTTATCCGATGCTTGCCATTCGTAACCGCAACGCATGCATCACCGCCATACAGGTCTGGAACGACCCAAGCAAGCCGTGCACTGCGCTTACCATCGGGCAGCTATGATGCTGCTGTCACATCCGCGATCCGGTCCGATCCGATCCGATCCGATCCGATCCGATCGGATCCGAAGCATTCTCGAACCCGTCTTGTGCACATGACCATCACATCGGCGCCCACTGATCTTTCCAAATCGTTTATACATATTTGTGCACGGGAAAGGATAAAGAAGCGCGCGGGAACAAAACGTTAGGCTGTGTCGCTTCATCCAACTAGCGTTGGGCTTCTATCACCCGCAAAGTCATTTTTTCAACATGGATGTGGCCCGATGGCGATCCAAGACGCAACTAATGGTTTTGCCATGTATGGTTGAACCATTCAAATGTTATAGCCCAGCCTGTCCGAAAATGTTGAAACGATCCAAACGAAGCGCGTCCAAGGCATTTTTTCCTCACGTCACATCATCAAAAAGTAAAAAAAAGGAAACAAATCTAAAGAAAAGGACGGGAGAACATCCCGCCGGGCTCGGATCCGATCCAGCCTCAGCGAGCTGTTGGCTACGATGAACGATGAGTCAATCTATCGAGCGCGCTGCGCCCTTTGAGAACACAACCAAACAAAACCACATTCATTTATAGCCACAGTAAATTTAGGTTGTAAAATGCTGCGATGTTCAGGAGGGCGAAATGCGCGCAGCAGCGAAGCTTCCATGACGGCCAAATGAACTTGGCCTTTGGGATGCCAAGCTGCCAATCGTCAGTTCTGTTGCATCAATTCGATACTTGATTTGTTTGTTGCAAATACTCGGGCCTTGAGCTACGTCGCCCGTGCCATCATACAAACGCGCCCCAGAGCGCGCACACTGATGCTGGAGAGCACCAACCGACATCCACAATCGCACGCACTTTCGCGCACACGCTTTTAGAGATAAACCTGCGTTCATTCCGCTGCCAACACAGAGGGAAACATACGTATTTCGAAAGTTCTCTAACTCCCGTGTTATGAGCGCACCGCAGCCAGCAAGTCCGCTTCAAAGATCAATGGGAAGCAATCAGCTGCCAATGGTGTGAACACAACTGCCACACGCTCGCTCGCCATTATGTCATTTGCAACGAAATCGGGAATCATCCTCACGCTCACCGTCTGCCGTCGCATGCACGACAACCGCCAGTATCAGTTTTCTTCATTCGTCGAAACCGTTCAACCGCCAACCGTCAACCACCCTAGTGTATACAACTAAAAAGCATCAACCCCCGCAGTGTATAAGACTAGTTTGGCGCGTGAAAGCCTGTGAAAAGCACGGCAAGAATGGGCGAGGAGATGATCCGAAACGGTAGCAAAGAACCATAGTGAAAAAGCCGGGATTCCCAGCCCTAGCAAATCCATTAGGAAGTCATGACTTCGGCATGCAAATTTTCCATCGGAAATCAGGTACTAGAAGCCAGATACCGCAAGTACGGACACAATACGTAAAATCCAGGAAGCCGTCGCACGCAAGATTGAGAGTTGGACATTTTGCCCCGCCGAGCTAGCACCTAGTTAGGCAACCGCCAACAAGCACCAGCAAGCCCATCCAACAGATGCATTTTTTGTGGCAAATTCCTGGGCTGATGCGCAGGTGCACCCGCCAACCACCAACGGCTAACTGCCAACGAACTCGGTGCAATGCCTCAAGCATCGGGTGCTTGGGTCCCAAATTCCAATCCAGAAGAATTCGCAAGCAAGTATGCTCAAACTTTGTCAAAGCAAGAGATATCAACAGAACAAGCGTCCTTGAACTTCACAACACAAACAAGACATTTTCTTATAACTCGCTCCAACAACACCTATCACGAATCGGATGCGCAAAATTCACAACATCCATGCAAATTCACTCAACAAACCTACTCTAACTCAACCGCACCAACACTACGCAGCATGCAATCGCACGCATTATCCTACGCATTTGTTATGCCTACCGTGAGCTTATTATCGCAACGTGCTGAACAGCAAATAGCAAGAAATGCAATACAAAAATAAAAAAGCCCGCCGTCGGAAGGCGCCTTCGAAGCCCGCAGCCAATGCGTAGACCCTGTGACCCGCATAACCTCACACTGTCCGTCGCGTGAGCAGCTTCCCCCAAGTAAAGTAAAAGCCCCATCCAATTTCCGCTCGCACAATAACCGAATATTAAAGAAGCAGATAGGTGGGCTTTTGTAGCACGCTAAAGTCCCGGTGCTTCTTAACTAGGCAACTCATTCTAAGATAGTGGATGGCTGCTGGCGGTGCACGAGTACGATCTAGACAGCTGGTTGCGGTCAACTGCCGACATCGCAGTGGCTTCGGTTGCCCTCCACCACTCATGAACGCCGTTTGATTCTGTGTGCGGATTTGCTTGTTATGCGGAAAAAAGGCAGACAGACACATCCACGCACGCATGAATAGATGCGTCACAGACGCGACGCGCACGCTCAAAGCCCCCAAGAAGACGTGGCACTATGCAAGTACTAAGGAATAGTAAGGCGCAACACAAAACAAAATCAAACACCGAGAAAGGAAGAGCTGTCAGACAGAATTTTGTTTTTTGTTCGCCGTACGTAATACTTTCTTTGGATTATAAAGAGCCAGAAACAGCACTAGCAAGGGTCGCTGTCGAAAGTGGTAAAACATCAACTTGGGCGACAGCGCGCTCAAGACCCTCTACAAAAAACATAGAGAACATTTCGAAGACTTCCAGGAAAGTCACAGGCGCAAATGCCACTACTCACGTCACCGTTTGATAGGTCATGCAACGGCCAACCGAGCCAATCAAGAGGCCGTTCACCGGATTGGCCAGCAAGCAAGCGCGGCGCGCGCGGCAAGATCGTAGTGATATTACGACGTCCTTTGTTTATTGTTTTATCCAGCCAAAGCTTTGCTCACGTACACCACATGTATAGATGCACACATGCACACACTTTTATCTCTCCGCCGTCATGCCCACATCACCGGCACCTCTTCTCTCCGCACACATACACCAACATCGTACCTTAATTCCACCACAGCCAGGACCAACGCTTCAAAGCGCCGTCAAAGTCCTTAGCCTTACAAAATAAAGCCATCGCCTCCTTGGCCTTCCACAATGCCCCGCCCTTCCCGGGAAAATAAACACGAAACGGCTCGTCATTCCCAAAGGGCCAACAAAGGTTTCCCAAAAGGATCGGCGCTGTTGTCAGCAGGGCCCAATGCTGGCTTGCACCAAACCATGGCACTGCGGGCAGCTGACCTTAAGCCGTGAAATGCGCAAGTGGCACCAGCGTGGCTTGAAGAAGACATCGCGACCGGTTCCCCTCAGCGTCATGCCCCGCCCGCAACAACTCATCCGCCTCTAGCAACAGGCTTACTTGGGCTTGCTTGGGCCCTAGCCTGTAAGCCCTGCCACTGTCACCGACACTTGTCGTTTTAAAAAAGAAATCCACCCTTTCCCCCTCGCCTCCCACCCTCCCTCTCTCCCTCCCTCCCTCCTTCACACCCTTCAAAGCGGCTCTAGCTCTTATGTACATCTCTCAAGCCGCAGCCGTTTGCCGAAGTCTCAATGGCTTCTATTCACTCGACAAAACCGCCAATTCCGCCACATTCCACCCCACCCTCTCGGCGCTTTCCAACTGGCGTAACGTACACAGTATATACCGCCATATACTAATGTACTTCCTGCCGCGGCTGCGCTACTTGACGCTCATTGCATGCGCCACGTGTCTCCCGTCATCTTGCGCAACCCCACAGTGTGGGAAAATGTTGTGGGGCTGCCGCTGGAGTTATTGCCGCTGCCGGTATTGGTATTGCTACTGCTGGCTCTCGTTTCTCCTTTTAGCGGTTACCATTTTCCAGCGCTCACTCCTCCGCGCATGGTACTCCAAAAGCCCTGACAAAAAGGCCTTGACGGCAAAGCCACGTGCTGCCGCCATCGCCTCCTTCTCAACCTCCGGACGCGGCCGTCGGCCAGCTGGCAGTAACTTGGCTTTGACTCTGACTCGACTCCGGCTCCGCTTTGACGGCTCGACCCCCGCCCGACTTCGCATCCAGCTCGACTCCGACACAATTCGGGTCGCCTTCAAAATTTTTCGAGTCCGGCTCGACGCCTGCTCATATTCTTCGTGGCTCGGCTCCAGCTTTCTACCCTTCGGCTTTCTACACCGCTTCCGATAAGCGAGATTACCGATCGCTCCGCTCGACTCTCGAGGCGCTCAATTCCGCTTAGCTACCTCACGGAACGTTATCATAATGCATTAATTACGAGAAATTTGTCTAATTGGCGTAACTTAGGCAGTAGCATGGATAACTGGTCGTGACGATCAGCCAACCAGCGCCGTCGACTCGACAATCGGTCATCGCCACCACCACCGCTATCATCACCACCGCCATCGCCACATCTGCGGACCCTCCCATCCCCAAGGCGCCTGCGCCATACCCTTCCAGCACGCACGCACGGAGGTCGAACCCCACGCCGCATACGACGGCTCATTAGGCCCCGATCAAATCCCCCCACGGGCGTTTTTTTCCAGCCTGACTAAGGCGGGCTACTGAGCGCTTTTTTTAGGCCCAATTCGGGAGTCATAATGTAGTTTTCCAGGGTAGGACAGAGCCGCCCCTCTCCCACCTGATCCCTTGTGCGGCAGTGCCGTGGTAAAGGCCAGCTTCAGATTTCAGCTTCAGCTTGCGATTCCGCTTTCCATGAGCACCTTACCGCCACTTTCGCCCTCCCGTACCGCCCGATATCGACATCGGCTCGCCAGTTGTCCGATTCAGTTGGAACGCCGCGGCGGCGGCGGCGGAGCCGCCGCGGCCGCCAGCGCGCGGCGTGGCGGGCTGCGAGCTCGCTGCTGAGCTGGAACCTGGCTGCCCCGTCGATGATGACCCTGCCGCAGCTGCGGCGGCGGCAGCGGAGGCTACCGCGGCTGCGACGCCGGCGGCGGCGGCTGAGCACTGGCGCATCCGGTCTTCATAGCGCAGCAGCGCACGAACAATCTCCGGGAACTTGGGGCGCGCTGCGGGATCATGTTGCATGCACATCTTGCCCAGCTTGCGCAGCGGTTTTGGCACTGATGCCGGCCAATCCAGCTCCAGCTCGCCTCGGGAGACCGCCAGCATGACGGCGAAGGGGTTGACATCCTCGTGGGGGAGCTGACCGGTGGTAAGGTGCCAAGCGAGCGCGCCGAAGCTGAAGACGTCAGAGGGGGGCCCGGCCTTGCCGTTGAACACCTGGCGGCGTGGCAGCATGGCGGGCAGCGGTCGCCGCAGCGATGGCGGCGGCGGCGGCGGTGGCGGCGGTGGCGGTGGCGGGTCATCGTTAGGTTCATGATAGAGCTGTCCTTTGACTCACCATATCGAAACGACCAGAATCATCTTATTATCCAGAAATCACACCCAAAATTTAGTCTCGCCATCGATAAAAAACACACGTTTAAAAACCTCGAAACACCAGCAGCCCAGGCATGGAGCATATACCAGCACAGCAGCACCACCCGCTAGCATCAGGCCCAACAGTACGATACCTCGGGTGCGGTGTAGATGACGGTGCCCCACTCCGAAGAAGGTATGACGGTCGCGGAGCTGCCGTCCACAGCTCTAGTGACGCCAAAATCTGACACCTTGGCGATAAATCCGCGAGCGTCGCGGCTGTTCACCTTGAGCAATACGTTGGCTGAGTGCCCCAGAGTGCCCGAAGGAGTGAGCGAACCATAAGTGACAGAAGCGGGTGGGGAGGGGGAACAGGAGGAGTGCCTGTGACTTTGTGGGCCTGAGCATCACAATAACAGCATCAGCGTCAGGGGCTTCAGCAAAAGAAAAAAGAAAACAATAATAAAGAAAAAAAAAGAAAAAAGAAAAAAAAAGAAAAAAAGAAAAAAAGAAAAAAAGAAAAAAAGAAAAAAAGAAAAAAAGAAAAAAGGAAAAGGGAAAAAGAAAGGAAAGGACATAAGAAGACTTGTAAGAGCTCAACCACCTAACCGTGAAGTATCAACTGCCAAGCCCACATCCATATATATCAACAACAGCTCCGTATCCTATTGGTTTCTGACAGCCACAAAATTACGCACCATCATGTCCACTGCCAACCCCAGATCTATACGTACTTGTGGCCATATCCACAGGCTCACGGCCTGAAACCCTAAGCCCCTCAGCGTCAGTCACCCGCATCCCCCACCCCACCTGGTTTGAGGTCTCCATGCACAAGCTCTGAGGAGTGCAGATGCGCCATGCCCTGAGCTACCTCCAATAAGGTGCGCACGATGCCGCGAATGCGGTGACGCCGGGACAGAGAAGGGCAGGTGGGATGGAACACGCCCGCGTGGATGCAGCGGTGCAGGGACCCGCGGTCCATCTCTGAGGATGGGTGGATAGGCGGGGCGAGACGTCAAGCAAGGCCGAGCAAGTCGGAGTTCGTAATGGCAAGCTTGAATGCCCAGCGGGTTAGAATATCCTTGGCGTTGCAGACGAAGGTTCTTTTGTTGAAGAAGGGAACAACGTACGATTACGTTTTTGTCCATATGCATATCCATAAGTGCGTAAGTGCGTAAAAGGCTTCAAAACTGCAAATTGTTGTATACCACAAGTCATGGAGAATCTTAGGGATGTGCACAGCAGTGTGTACAGCAGCCTTGCGTACGGCATATAAAGGCGGGGTGTGTGCGGGCTACAGCAAGGTTGGGCACGTGTGTGTGTGTGTGTGAGAGAGAGAGAAGAGAAGAAACTAGCGCCCCAAGGGGATCTCTGAGTCGCGGTGAGCCCACATAAGATTTTTATTTTTACTTCTTCAACTGGATAGCCATGTCGTACCTTCCATGATCACCACCGTCAGCCACTGGCCCGGCCGCGCGCCAATGTGTACGAGCACATCCGGAGGTTGGAACAGCAACAGTCCGTTGGTGGCCTCAACGGTCGACATGACGAAAGAGTCCGCCTTGGCTTCCACCTGCGGTTATTAGTTGGTTAAGTAGTTACTAAACGGTTAACTTCGCCGGCTGCAGCAGGCACAGACAACAAAAAAACAAGTTACAAGTTACAAAGTCCTCACGAATGCGGGGGTTTCCCTCAAAGCCGCATTCTGTGTGTCTATGTTTCCTTAGCGAGGACGCGTGGCGAGGTTTCATAACGCCCGTTCATCTCCCATGCCCACACTTCGACACTCATGTACGGCATGTACGACACCCAGGACACGACAACGGCCACGACAAAGGTCATGAAAAACACCAAAGCCCCCAACGACGCACCTGAAACGCGGCGCTGACCTCGATCTCCGCTGAGCTGATCTGTGAAGTGGCCGCCATAGCGGCGGCGGCGGCGGCGGCGGCGGCGGGGGGTTGCACGTGTCCGTGGAAACAGCCGCCAGCCGCGGAGAACCCGCGGCTGAGAATCCTGCGGGGGCTGCGGGAGGCGTCAGGCATGGCAGGCACGAAGATGGGGGGCCCCCAGATGGGCCGTTTGTCAATGGCGATCTGTCTCTGTGTTAGACAATAGTTTTTTCCGGCCCTTCCGGCCCTTCCGGCCTTCCAAAACACTGAGGCTGGCTTGAGTAACCTAAAGCGCTTTTCGCAATCGGCAATGCGCAGCTGTGGCTCCGGAACCTTCCTCCTCCGCTCACCCTAAAGGGCTCCTCGAAGGCGTGGACCTGCTGTCCATGGCCGTACCACCCGCCGCCACAGCCGCAGCAAGATGGGGTTCCGGAGCTGAAGCTGACGGGCTAGGCTGTGGCAGCAACTCTAACACTGCTTTGTGAGTCGGCTCGGAGGAGTTGGTGTTGCCGCCCGGTGCGGTGCATCCGACGGCAGCGGCTCCGCCGCCGCCGGCGGGCCCATGGAACTTAGCACGGAGAAGCTGCCGCATGAAGCTCCGCTGCTTGTGCACCGCCTGGCGGCTGCCGCCGCCGACACCGCTGCCGCTGGCGGCAGCGCATCCGCTGAAGAAGCTGGCGTTACCAGGTGCGCTACCGCCGTACGCCTGCAATGGCACCTCCAAGTCGCTACCGCCGTAAAGCGCCGCCGCCGCCCCGGTGGGCGCCGACTCGCCACCGCCGCCGCCACAACTGCGAACGCATCCATTGGATCCAAAGAGCCGTACTGATGCGTCGCTACAGCCGCGGCCGTCACCATCCGCAGCGATTGCGGTTGCTGCTGCTGGCGACGGCGGCGGCGGCGGAGTGCTCGGGCGGCCGATGGCGTCGGCCGACTGCTGCGACGGCGAGAGGCACATGCCGTACAAGTCGATTGCCGTACCGCTGGCGGCGCATGTGCTTAAGAGGTCCGCGTTGGAGAGGCCGCTGACTCTCCGCTGCGACACGATCTGCGGCTGGAAATGGTCCAGGTTCAGTTGCGCCGCCGCGACGGCGTACGTCTGCACGAGATGGGGGTGTGAAGCCAGCCGTGATAGCGCTGCCTCCCGTTGCTGCCGCTGCAGCTGGCTGATGTCCGCCGACAACATAAACTTGACGGCGACGGGCACCTACAGTGCGGGCCGTCGAACATGGTGGCGGCGGCAGTCACAAAACTAGTCCTTTCCGTTAGCTAATTGACGTCGACGGCGGCGGTCAAACCTCCGGCGGTGGAAATGACGGCGACGGCGGCAAAGTTGCTTCACAACGTGGTATGTATGTTGTTACAGGGTGGTTAACTTCGCAAGCGGCCCCTTTCCCGGGCAGTCCCTGCTCTCCCCTGCTAGAGGGGCACCCTAATCCGTCACCCCATCCGACTTCAGAATATGTATGTCATTCTGTGCTTGTTTGCTCAAGGAACCCAGATCGGAAAGACTATCTGACAGATAGTATGTGTGCGTCGGGCATGGTCAAGATTGCTCGTCCTGCATGACCCTGATCCCACATGGCTTGCAGGCTTGCAGTAGCCAGCACCTGGTACGGCACTGACCCACAGTGTACGGCGTTAGATTCCGTTACTTACCCCGCACCACATGCCGCCGTACACGTTGCCGCTTGCTCCAGAGCCAATGAAGGACAGATCCCGGAGCTCCGCCCACACCTTCTCCAAGTCATTAAAGCGCAGGAACTTGTCAGCGGGATTCGCGGCGGCCGCCCTGGCGGCGGCACCGGCGGCGGCAGCAGCCTCCACCGACGCCACTGGCGGAAACAGCCGTGGCGAGAACTCTACGGAGCGGCTGCCGAAGGGCGATGGCGGCGTATCCTCGCGGCATAGCTGTAGCTTGCGTGGCGGCTGTTGCGACAGTAGCAAGGGCGGCGGCTGCGGAGCCTCGCCGCCAGCGACGACGCTGGCAGCACGACTGGAAAACATCGTCGCTTGTGTAGCAGCAAGATCCGCAACAGGGGTGCTCGGGATCGTGGCCATTGTGGCCATCAGGTCGGATCCGGATCCAAATATATCGGCGGAACAGCCAGACGCGCTGGTAAAGGGGTTGCCGATCCCAGCGCCGGTGCCCGCCATCCGCGCGAGTGTACAGCTCGATCCGTGAAGAGCACAGGCAGATCCTCGACGGCTGAAAGGACGGCTGCTGCAGGGAGGAGGAGCATCAGCGGAATTGCAGCTGCCGCCAGCGGCGGCGGCGGCGGCGGCAGCGGCACTGGCCATATATCCACTGCCGAAGGATGTGAGGAGGCGCGGCAAACCCAGCTGTGCGGTGACCCCTGGGGGTGCCGGGGTGGCCGGCGATGCGCCAGTGCCGCTGTCTATGAAGTGCGGACCCAAGCGGGCAAAATCAGGACCGTTACCGTTACCGTTACCGTTACCGTAACCGATACCAATACTGGAGGGGTCATTCATGAGGGGTAGGTGAATGTGGAGCTGTCCGGTATGTGTGTGATGATGATGATGATGGTGATGATGATGATGACGATGATGATAATGGTGCTGATTGTGGTAGTACATCTGCTGGCAGTGGTCGTGGTGGTGGTGGGTGAGGTGGAGGGAGGTGTTGGCTGACTCGTGGCGACGGAGCTTGTTGCTGCAAGGTCTCACAGCGCTGGAAGCTGCTGCTGCTGCTGCTGCTGCGGTGGCGGCGGTGGCGGCAGTGGTGGTGGTTGTAGCGGCGGCGGCAGCAATGGTTGTGCCCGTACTCGAGGCCCTGGATCCTTGTCGAGCCGAGATGTGGGTTGTGTAGGCACCGTAAGTGGATGAGCCGCAAAACTCGAGCGGTGTTGCTGGGCTTTCTTCCGTGAAGAGATTGAGGCCACCATCGGCACCACCGCTGCCACCGCCGCTGCCGCCGCCACCGATCCCGGCAGCGTTGATTGTACCATTAGTAATTACCATGACCAGGTCATCTCCAGGGCCAAAGGGCACCGAAGCGGCGGTGTGGAAGGGACTAAGGGGTCCCACTAAAAAGCTGCTCGTGCGGGAGGCTCCCTTCGCATCGCCTTTGACCGAAGCGACGACAGCAGTAGACCCGACGCCGAGCACGATAGAGGCCATAGACTGGACGGAGACTGTGCCGTTAGTGCTCGCCGCAGCAGATTGCCTGCCGCTGGAGAGCTGGCTGCGGGCGCCAGAAGTTCGAGTTCCAATGGTCGCGGTCGCGGCTGGACTCTCGCGCTCTGACGTCTTGAGAACATCAGTGGAGGCGCGTGAAGGGGAAGAACGTTCGGATGAAGTAACATAGCTGAGATTTTTTGTAGAGGACTGCGCGCTTGGTGTCCGTGCAAGCCCGTCGCAATCCTTCGCGATGCCACCTGACGAATTTCGGTCTGCGCACTGGGGTTCGAGCTGTACCTTCTTCTGAGATTGACGACGTTTCAACGAAGATCTTTTTCGACGAGTATGCTCGCCTGACACGAAGCACGCGGTCAGCAACGACTTCACCCTGCTCATGCTCCTACAGTCCCTAAGGGACCGAGATACAAGCGATGACCTTGCACAGATAAAACAACACCAATAGAGAATAGTGTTGCGTAATGCAAAATGTATAGGCAGACGTTCAGAAAGGTCCACAGTTCACAGGCGTCCATTGGTCTCTACAGCTTCGTTTTCCAGGCTTATGCGAAGCAGTGGCCACAACACGCTGCATCTTTCCTAACTATCTCACGTTCATTCCTGTGTGCACATGTCTAATAATCTACATTTGTTTACGTAGCGAGTACCCCAAATTTGCTTGTGATTTTTGGCTGAGGCCTGCAAGGCCGTACAATGACAGATGTCAGGTTGCTTGGTCTTCGAGCAGGACCAGGAGAATTAGTGAATTAATAATGACATTTTATATTATATGAGTTACTCCCAACGAACCTAATGCCCAAGGGAGTCAAGAACTGATGGCTCTCGCCATTAAGCCTTGTCGCAGGCTCACCAACATGCAAAAATTTGCCGAATAATACAAAGGATTGGCTTAAATTTATGATATGTATGCAGGTTAAGAACAATCTTTGTCGTGGTCGGAGATATTTACAAGCCTCGACGCGAATCCGCGGCTGGCCAGTTTTGGCCATCAGCGCTACAATCCATTGTACGTTTCCAGCACTTGGATCAATAAATTAAACAATAAATTTATTTTTGTATGCAGTGCTGCTAGTATTAAATTAATGCATGCTACTCGCAGAGCGACTGGCTGTACAGCATTTCGATGGAAGAGATAACGGCATGGGAAATACCGTTGCAAACACCAAGTCGCAGCATGAATCTACTACCAGAAATGTACACACTACCTCAGAAGCTAGTGGAGAGAAACTAGTCATGTCGCAGTCTGGCGCTTCGTCGATGTGTCTTACGGCATACTTGTGCAGCTGCATCATAAAGACATTCAAATCTATAATCCAGCACAAAAAATTAATTAATTTCCCATTAAAAATTGACCTGCCGAGGCAGTTGTGCCGGAGCCGAGGTCAGCCGAGCGTGCACGCGCACGCGCAAACTCCCAAAGCCGCAGCGCTTACATCACTGTTAATAACGTCAAGTCAATAACGGTACGATCATCCCAGCAAATTAAAACCTAGGAGACCCGGAAACAGGTACTTTTGGAATTTAACGGTTTATCCTGTGATTGCGACCTTGCCTGACCTTGCTGACCTTGACTCTTCCTACTGGTCGCCCCTTGTCATTAACTGTAATAGTTGATGTTCATGCTTTTTTATTTATTCGATACCAGCTGAAAGGAAACCAGACCCTCCTAACAATTCGGAAGCGAAGGCTGACTTCACTTCCCGAGAAACAGGCGTATGCCAAGAGAATCGGATCTTTCAAACTCAACTTAGGCTTACAAAGTCAATATATTTGATCCGCTTAAATAGCCAAGTTAGCACTCAACAGCCGTACACACAAGTACTAGCTCCGCTAGCTCCGAAGTTACAACACGATCACACACGTGTTCCGAAAGTTCGTCAACCAACTTTATAACATTACAGCCTATGCCAACCAGCCATGCCTATGCTTCCGAGGAGTCGGGACTGCTGCTGAATTAACATCGGATGCAAATGAAGTCAAGGCCTTTCGTAGCGTAAGGCGCAAGGATTATCGTAGCGCAAAGTGCTTGCATCCCAACTACAGTTGCGCCAGTTGCGACAGGTTGCTCTCAGCCTGCCAACCCAACGGAGGTACCGATATATAGACCAAATTTCCGGAACGGCACGTCAGGGAGTTTGTCATCCCAATTGCCGTCGCATGTGATGGACTGTGAAAACGGCTACTGTTGATTTGAACATCTGGAGGAGGTGGGAGGCACCGAGATACGTGCAACTGCGGGCACGGAGGTTCGGGGAATGGGTTGCAAATCCTCGCCTTCCTCGCCGTGCAGCCAAGGGCGCAGTACTGTTAAGGACATTACGCACGGTGCCGTAAGAGACTCTGGGTTGCAGATATATATTCTCCGCCTCCTAATGCCTCAAATGCTCCGCAAACTCAGGGTGAGTGATATTTAGCAAGGGAACCCGGACACGGCGGACCCAGTCGGCTTCATGCAGGCTGCGAAAGCGCAGCTTGTGGTGATCCTTGGCGCTGAGCCACAGGACTTTGCTGCATGGCCAGGCCCCGTCATACCGTCATGGTTCCCGCTTCGAGGTGCGCTGGCCTCCGTCGCCTCCGGCTCGGCTGCCGCACAAAATGGACGTCCATGATTGTGAGGGCCAACCGCCGCTTGGCCATGGTGTCGATGCACGACAGTGGCAAGTGTGAAGGCCGGCACTAGGATAAGGATTAGATTTAGGATTAAGGTTGCACTCCAGGGAAGTCGATAAGAAATTTTGGGAGTTTTAGGCCATCACAGGCTCTTACCTTGTCGCCTCTGCGGACACTTAGAGTCGGTGTGCCGCTGGCTTTCCGAGAGAAGCTAGGGCCGCATCTAATTGGTGAGTGCCGCAAGATGAGGTGGCGGCAGTGCAGACGCAGGAGCATCTCGAGCTGCAGCAGCAGGCGAGGTCCAACGCGGCGATGGTAAAAATGCACACCGGCAGCAGCAGCAGGCGCAGCCCCAGCCCCAACAGCAGCTACCCGCTTTGCTGCACCCCTCCGCCGCTCCACTCGCCGGCCTCGGAGACGTTCAGGCAACTAATGGAGCGACTGTGTTTGGGTTTTGCTGGGGGTCGCGAGCGATTCAAGGGGGTGGCTGGAGATCGTGATTGTGGGCAGGCAAGGAGATTCACGTCTCAAAGACAATCTTACTTCGGGTTACGTGCGATTACTCCTGGTTGAAAGGGACTTTAGAGGAAAGGTTATGTACCGCGTGGTACAATGTATGAAATTCTGCCTTGCCGCGACGTCGAACTTTCGTTGACCTGATAATGCCTGAGATGTGACCATTCTAGGAGCTGATGAATGCTACGAGTACTTGTATCTGGGCTGGTTTGGCGTTTGAGGGGTAGTCCTGGTCCATTACACGGTGCGTTCCCTGGGTGCACCTATTACGCTTTCCCTATGAACAGTTAAAAAGATTCATTTGAGATACGAAAAAGCTCTTTTTGAAATACGCAAACATTATGGAGATACGCCCGGCGTGAATTTTCACTAATTACCGATACGCCAGCTAGGAGGGTCAAACCTTTATGGTAACAACACTCACCAGACCACCGGGGCCACTATCCCCTCCTGCTCGACCGCTGTAGCTGTTTCTAGTTTAAGAGGAAAGAGCGCGCGGTGGCTACCAAGGCCATCAAGTAAACAACCCCAGCTCGCCCGTAGCAGCACCTCACCAGATCACCACTCCGTCATGCAATCTACTCCTGCAAGATCACCCGCGCCTATGCGGGCTTCGGTCCCTGGGCTTACCCTTCCCCGCACTAGCGAGCTGGGCAACCAGCACCTGGGTCGTCAGACCCCCGTCTATCCCTAGCTATTAGTTATACCGTTCCTAGACTGTCCTCCTATTTCCCCTGGTGGCTGCACGCAACGCATTCTGCCATCCACGACCGAGATGATGGGTTGGTCAGCTCCCACCGGTAGGTACCCGTGTCGCTGCACTCCGATATTAATGGCATCCACAGCACAATACATATGATGCCGGAGACAAAAGGCAAACTGTGGAACTACACACCGTGCATGTGGCTGGCTTAATACATAATTCACTGGAATTCACCTGCATTGCAAACATGTCCAGAAACCAATCCAACCAGGAAATGCGAAAACTCGATCTGCACCAAGGAACGTGTGTATCTAAGCATGAAGGTGCGGGGCACCTATCAATCTGCGTGGAATGTGCAAGTACACGCACATAGTGGAGATGGAACAGAATGCCTGGCTGGCGTGTATTTAGGTGGATGAAGTAGTGAGGCATGTGCATGTATTACCGTGGGTTTGCGTTCCGTGTTTGTTATTAAGCGCCGGACGTAATGACCACCCGTCCATCCCTGTCACCGCTGGTTGGCAGCACGTGGTCAACAGCGGCCACATACTCTTCAAGTGATCGGCGGGTGGTGACGGGGGGAAGGACGTTCGCCAGGAAGTCGCTATCTGTATCATAATTTCCCAGAGGTGCATACCGGCAACTAACCACATAACAGTTCATGCCCCGCGCTGCAGCACAGCCAACTTGCACTGTCGAAGCCCACACGAGTTGAGAGAAGCACGCAATACTCGAGAATGTATTGTCAGTGTACGGTGTGCTCGTGAACTTGTACAGCGAAATTTCGTCGTACCATGCTTCCACTGCCCTACTGCAATTGAGGGGAGATGTCTGGCTTGAGGTCGACATCGTGTACAAATTCTCGTTACCAATTCCTTCATAGTACGAACTGCAGCTGTTGTTTAGCGCCAGGTTGGCGGCCCAGTTCTGCGTTCGGACGGGTGCATGGGGAGGGTACTTGGTGCAGGCCGTGACGCAGAAGGAGGCCAGGTGACGAACGGAAAGTAAGCTACACGAGGACGGCACGTGCTGTGAACCGCAAACGGCCGCAGCGGCATACGTGCGTACGATGTGGAGCTGCGTGCGATGCTGTCACGATACAGTTCCCATGTCTGGGTTCCTCCCATGCATCTGTCTATCTTGCAGGTGTATTCATCCTATTGCTACAGCAATAATCCGTGGACACAAACACGGATTTTCAATCTAGCTGGTAAACACGCTCATGCATTGTTGTCTCTTCGTACTGCTCCCAAAACACGCCTGGCTCACGTGCCGGCAGGTGGCAGCTAGGACTCATGCATGACAGGGGTCCGCCCCACCGCGCGGGCCATTCCCCAACCCCACCTCCCCTAACCGACCGGGAGACCCCCACCTCGATGGGGGGCCCCGCGATGGAAACCCTTTCAGGTCCCTTTTTCGTAAGCTGCTAGCTGGTGTGATGCTTCCGCCCCCACCGCGCGTCGATATTCACAAGCAGCAGCTGCTGCACCACGAGAACCACAACCACTACGCACATACTTACGAGCTGACCAGGAACTAAGTTGAGGCGCCGTTGATCCGCTAGATTTGGTTGGATGCTGGTGGTGAGCTGCTGAACCCAACGAATACGTTCTGAAGTCGGATGGGGTGAACGGATTAGGGTGTCCCTCTAGCAGGGGAGAGCAGGGAACTGCCTCGGGAAAGGGGGCCGCTGGTGAAGCTATACCACCCTGTAACAACATACATACTTGTGCGTGCGTACCAACCTTTGCTTGCTGTGCGAGGGTGTTGTTCCAGCCAAGTGCCGGCGACCCGTGCCGTGCACGGTACTGGTTGTGCAGCAGCAGGGCGGCGGCAGGGTCGGCACAGCCTGCATCGGCGGCAGCAGTGGCGACGCCAACATTACAGCAGACGACAACAGTGGGGGAGGTTAAGTAGCAAGAACGACAAAAGACATGTATTACCGCCGTGCGGTTCGCGGGTGCAGCACATGTGGTCCGGTCGGGTCCGGGATACACCGTATGTAATATTCCCATTCATTCAGCTGGTGACAGGCGCATGAGTAGTCGGTGGTGGCTTCAGGAGGTGAAGACATAAGATTGATATTGATATATTGGCGGTTCGTCCGCAAGTCGCCCTTGGCACTATGTGTAAAGCAGTCAGAGTGCAGAAATAACCATCTTTGTGTACGCATATTCGTACGTGCATGTGTATGTGCGTATGCATCTATGTGTGTATACGGCTGCCAAACGAGTCTGTTGGTTGATGATGAAGGGCGGGCTATCTGAGCAGCTGCACGGCTATGAATGTAGCTGCAAGAATGCATGTGCTGATGGGTACATAAATACCGATAGATGGATGGACATGCACCCGCCCACCACACAAATGCACGTGCACGCATGAGCATCATGTTGGGCAGCGATTTCTATTTGCGCAACATTCTCCGTGGTCCTGAAAACTAGGACCAGATTGTATTCCGACCGTACAAGGTCATTCTTCCAGCCAAAAGTGGGGTATGAATGCCAAAGCCGCTACATTTATACAGGCAGGTGGCTGGCAGAAATTAAGTCCTGACATATGCTCCCGGAGGTTCTGGGTTCAACCCGCCAGCCGACCTCTCGAATCGGGAAGTGACCCCCCATCTTGCGGATGGAGTAGGACACGAATATATCATTTTATGCGTGGACCAAGAACTAAGTTGTGGCGTCATTAATTCGCTAGATTTAGTTGGATGCTGGTGGTGAGTTGCTGAACCCAACGAATACATTCTGAAATCGGATAGGGTGGATGGATTAAGGCGCAACACACGCAGGGGAGAGCAGGGAACTGCCTCGGGAAACGGGGCCGCTGGTGAAGCTTTACCACCCTGTAACAACATCATGCATGTAAACCATATCATAGCACTTCAATGCCATGGATGATACTGTTCGGAAGGTCACGCCCGCGAGTCAACGAGGAACAGGACTTCCTGACCGGACCAAACGCTGCAAAATATTCAGCCCCAAAGCTCCCACAGCGGCATTTGTACGAACTAAACTGTAACGCATGGGGGGGTGTTTCTGGGGGGGCCGGAGCCTCCCCAGCGCCTTACAGATTGGGAATAGTTTTATTCCCGCGTTTAAAAACCTATTCCTCCGTTCGGACTGGAAATTTCACGGGCAAATGAAAACAAAAACGCTGCTGTTGGGAATAGGAGCCGCTGTGCGTGAATATAACTTGTGACGAGCGTATACAATCAGGTGCGCAGCGCAGCGGTCGCTAGCTAGCTCACCGCCGATTATGGCATCTCCGGGAAGGGGCGGTGGAGATGGTGCATTAGGAGGCCTGCAGCAGCCGAAACCAAAGAAGCAGCAACAGCAGCAGGTCCGCGAATTGGTTCAGCCCCGGCGGGTCTGACATGGAAAGCAGGCATGTCTTCCTCTGTCATGTTGCCAGTATACGGCATACACTAGCCAAGCAGGAAGCATGGACCCCCATTCCTGAGGAACGTGTAAAAACTTGTACAAGTGCATGTCCGGAAACACGCAGCAAGCAGGCAACAGGCAAGATGGAGCAAGCCGGAAAGGTGGCAGCAAGGTTGTAAGTTAGCGTGCATGCATGCAGCTGGTGTGACGCACGCAATAGATGCATGTCCAGAAACATACGTACGCGGTGCAGACTCCACACGACTGGCGGCACCAGTAGTCACGGACGGACAAGCCGTCAGCGGAGTACGTGAGACCGCAATAGCCGCTGTTTTTCCAAACCTTGCAGTACGACAACTGGTCGACGCATCTGAGATGCATGGGACAGCCGGCAGCCACGGATCATCAAGAACGGGGATGGTCATGTTAATCATTTCGCACCACAACTAACAAGCACCGGACGGAAGCAAGGCAGGCAGGTGGCATTCGGGCACACCCACCCGTCAGGACAGTCAGGCAGCAGTCAGCCAGCGGCAATATTATCATTGCTGGAAGTGGCTGGAGAACAATGCACACGGGAATATAATGTTGATGGACTTATACGAACATGCTTGCCCAGCTGCTGGCGGGCACCAGCAAGCCACCCACCCATGCACACATACCCAGCAGCAGTATCGTAGTTGAGGTCACCAGGCAATTTATCGCTACCAGTACATTATGGCTTACAACGACAGACATACATAGCTTGTTTGTCCTAGCTTTCGAGGAACGCTCTGGATACGTGTGCGTGGTGGTGCATGTAGAGTTACAGAGCCCAGCATGGAGGTGCACAGCCCAGCATAGATACCTATAACCTCTCCACCCCTGCCCCCATGATATACCCCTCAATCCAAGCTCTTTATCATGATTATATGTAGCGGTTCGGACTTGGCCATCAGCCACCCACGCACTCTGCCCACCCAAGCACTTACGGCGATGGTGGTGCTGGGGGTCTCCGCCGTCGTCCAGGCGACCTGGCGACCGACAGAGATTCGTTCCGTCCGTGATGTAAAATATCACGCACACGCGAGCGTGATACAGCGAGGGCACGGGTGATGATGTACATTGCCAGCGATTCATATTGTTGTTGCGGGACAGCATCATGGTATCGTCGGGCCAGACGGCGCGGCCGTGTGGGGGGCGGGCGGGATTATACGAAGCATAATCTAAGCAAACCAGCGAAGCAAGTAGAAAAGATGGAAGCATGCGATGGATGAGCAGGTTTCGGAGCCTTCCGTGCCGATGTGAATCACCGCACGTATGCGTGCCAAATTTGCAAAGGAAGCAAAGAAGCAGGCAGGCGCGCACATGAAGGCCACATGGCTACCTATACCACACACATACGAAGTGCATGTCCGGAAACATGCAGCAAGCAGGATGGAGCAAGCTAGGAAGGTGGCCGCAAGGTTGGAGATTAACGTTAGCGTGCATGCAGCAGGTGTAATACGCACGCAATAGATGCATATCCAGAAACATACGTACTCGGTGCAGACTTCACACGTCGGGCGGCACCAGTAGTCACGGATGGATAAGCCGCCAGAGGTGTACTTGGGATCACAATAGCCGCTGCGTTTCAATTCCACGCAGTACGACAACTGGTCGACGCATCTGAGATGCATGGGACAGCCGGCAGCCACGGATCATCAAGGACGGGGATGGTCTTGTTAATTATGTCGCACCACAACTAACAAGCACCGGACGGAAGCAAGGCAGGCAGATTACATTCGAACACACCCACCCCGTCAGGACAGTCAGGCAGCGGCAATATTACCATTATTGCTGGAGGTGCTGGAGAACAATGCACACGGTAATATTATGCCGATGGACTTATACGAGCACCCTTGCCCACTGGTTAGAGGGTTATCCATGCATGCACCCAGCAGCAGTATCTTAGTTGAGCGGACACCAGGCCATTAGCCGCTACTCACTACCATAATATCATTGCTAGTAGCCAAAATAAGTCGATACAGCTTGCTTGTCCTAGCGCCCGAAAAGCACGCTGAGTGCGGGTGCGTGGGTGCATGGAAAGTTGCGGAGCAAGGCCAGCACCCAACCGCCCACACGCTCTAACCAAGCACTTACGACAGTGGTGGTGGCGGTGGTGGAACCGGTGGTAGTGGGAACGCCACCCTGACAATGACAATCGCGCGCGAGGGGTTAGGTTCGTGATATAGACAATCACAAACAACACAATTACGCGAAGATGGACGCACAAGCCAGTGTGATTCAGTGAGGGCCCGGGTGATAATGTATGTTGCCATCGCAATTCATATCGTTGTTGGATATACATCATGGCAGCAACAGCCCCGAGGGGATAGGATGCTTAGAATAAGGCAAGGCAAGGAACAACACAGGCCTGTAGCAAATGTTGCAGCGGTTGTACAGGTAGGGCAGACATATCGTCAAAAGCCAACTGAGGACTTATCAATAGGAATTCCGGGCATCTCCAGAAGCCCTTTCAGCAACCAGCTACTATATATCTCACGCAGCTCGACCAGCACGACGATCACACCGTCGCCAATCACGCTCAGCAGGGCACCGCTTGCTAAGGGCTACAATAAGCATCCACGCGATTATGTACATTTGTAGAGTGGTGAGCCGATCATACATGAAGGAAATTGCGCAGAATTGATTGCACACGTGATCTAAATGCGTCATTTCCCGTTATTAACTATCGTATGAAGGAAAGGCATGCTTGTACAGAAACGGCGGACGGACATGGAGGCTCGCCAGCAGCAGCAGAACGAGTCGCTCGAGCGAAGTTGAGAGATGAGAGATTTTTTTTGGCGTTATGACGACAGACAGACAGACAGACATTCCAAAATTGCACGACGTACCAGACGCAGGTTCCACACGTCTTGCGGCACCAGTAGTCAGCTACGGACTGGTTGTTGACAAAGTGCCCGGGGGCACAGTAGCCGCTGGATTTCCAGATGGGGCAGGAGCTCGCCAGTGGCTCCCGATCAGCGCAGCTGTGGATGTACATGTGCATGTGAGTGTGTTGTGCCGCGGTCACACACATGCAGTGGTACGTTAGTTCACAAGCAACCGCGTTTAATAAGGCAGCAGGTACGGTGAAACAAGCGAAGCAGTAGTAGGCATTCAAACCCCAAGTAGCCCCTATTGTTGAATAAATAGCACCTAGGTACTGCAGATGATGATAAGCCCACACATGCTGCAGGGGCGAACACCGAGATAAGGGCTAGCGCAAACGCAACAAAACCTTGCTTGTGATGCTTCGAAGCACATGAATTAATTGCCTCTACAAACAAAGACACTCCGCACAAGATTTGATGGCGCGGCCGGCATTGCATTGACGTAAACAGAGCAGGCCAGCAGTCCCTACTGCGTGAGCTGCATGCATCAACCAAAGCTTTGTTGCGGATTCAGTCGTCCGTCGCTGCCTACATTGGGGTCGGTGGCGGGGGGAATATTGGAGGGGATGGCGGCGAAGGCGGTGGAGACCGGGGCGGTGGCGGTGAAGGCGGCGGCGGCGAAGGCGGCGGCGGCGAAGGCGGCGGCGGCGAAGGCGGCGGCGGCGAAGGCGGTGGAGACCGGGGCGGCGGTGGTGAAGGCGGCGGCGGCGAAGGCGGCGGCGGTGAAGGCGGCGGCGGTGAAGGCAATGGAGACCCGACGCAGGTTCCACACGTCTTGCGGCACCAGTAGTCAACTACCGACTGGTCGATAGCGAAGTGCATGGGGGTACAGAAGCCGCTGGATTTCCAGATGGGGCAGGAGCTCGCCAGTGGCTCCTGATCAGCACAGCTGTGAATGTACATGTGCACGTGTGTTGCGCCGCGGTCACACACGTGCAATGGTACATTAGTCCATAAACAACCACATTGAAAGCAGCAAATAAAACAAGCGAAGCAGTGGTAGGTATTGAAACCCCAAGTAGCCCCGACTGCAGAAGTAATGGTGATAAGCCCACACACACTGCCGGTGCTAACGACATGAAAGCTAGCGCAAACACAACAACATCTTTGCTTGTCATGCTTCAAGCCCCCCGCATATGCACACTTCGCATGCACGCATGGATGCACACAGAAAACGGTGAAGGCGCCAGCATTGCAATCATGTACACGATGTGCTGGACCTGGTCCATCATGGACAGTTCCTGCGATCTGGGCTAGAGGACACATGCACCCATACAGCTAAATTAACTCGATGGTTCGTCGGTGCGTTTGTGCCTACATTGAGGGGGGTGATGGAGACACCAAGGGTCGCGGAGGCGGTCGTGGTGATGGCTGCGGTGGTGGCCGTCGTGGTGGTGGTGGTGATGGTCGTGGTGACGGTGGAGGTGGCCGTGGCATGGGCGGGGGAGTTGCTTGTACTGGGCTTGGAAATGGCCTAGGTGATGGCGGCTTGGGAGAAGGTGGCTTGGGAGAAGGTGGCTTGGGAGAAGGTGGCTTGGGAGAAGGTGGCTTGGGAGAAGGTGGCTTGGGAGAAGGAGGCCCAGGTGCAGGTGACTTGGGTGGCCCGAATGAAAGTCGCGGTTGAGGCGCCTGCAGAGGCGGAGTTGTGGCCCGCAAGCGACGTGTAGAGCCCGCAAGCATGTGAGTGCTCAGCTGACGAAGTCCCTCAGCGCGATGGCCACTTTCAGCAACATCAGCAGCCTGTAGGTATGCAGCGGAGGGTCACCGCGTAAGCAATTGCAAAGCCTTCGGCGCCTCAGAAAAGAAATTTTATGACCTTGCGTTTTCTCCTCAAATCATATTTTGAATATGCATGGTCCTCCCTGTCTATATAAAAATATATAATGCGCACCTTGGTTATTACAGGGCTGCTGACGACAACGGATGCCGCAAGGGCCCCGCTGATCAGCAGCAGAACGAGCGGCGACATATATAACAGCTGAACACAGCTGAAGCTCTTTGAGTGTATGATGCCCAACACTTGTGCAATAAAATGTTAGGCTCAAATTGTATTTTAAAGTGCTAAACAACTAAGGCAGCGGCAATGGTGTCTTGAATCCGAACACCAAGTAGTCGTGGTGCTAAGGAGCCTGGCCTCAGCACCCCGCCCGGGTAGCTTATATCTCGGCCTACCTGACGGAGATTCTCTACTACGGACCTAGCGTACCAGGATACTGTCGATGGGGCCCGGGGCCCCGCCTCGTTAGGTTCGCTACCAACAACTGCCGTCTTCGTGACATGTCACGATAGTACGTGACATGTACGAAACTTGAGTCGCATCGTCAACGAAATTTACAGTTATTGTTAACAATAATTGTTGAAGTATTCTAAGGGAAATGTAGCGTACTACAGTGGCTGATATCCTTGCGAAGCCGTTGCCGGAAGGAAAGTTTGTGCAGTTCCGGGCAGGACTGGGAGTTCGTTGAGTTAGATTCGTCCGGATGTCCCGCCCCGCCGGCGGGTCCGGATGCGTTCCGTCCGAGGGGGGGTGTTGAGATTCGGCCAGAGCATTGGTAGTTTAGACGAATGTACTGCAGATCTGCAGTACTTTCTACCAATGTTCTGGCCGATGATGTTTTTCTTGAGAGTTTGTTCTTGAGAGTTTGTTATTGAGAGTTTGTTCTGCGATACCTGTAGCGGTTGAGGTTGGCTATGTCTATACAGTTCCATTCGCCTAGCGCTATACCGTACTGATCAGGTAGTTTGGTGATTTCAATTGGTGAATGGCATCACCAATTGGTATCAGTGAAAATGATCGCGTGTTTTCTGGGGTGCGTCGTCCACCATTTGCTGTGTCGTACAATGAACAGTTCCCATTTTCCCAGGGAAATTCGTCTGCTAATTATATCCGCCCAAAAAAATGTTTCTTTAGCAATTACTTAACATAAACAATAACCATGGCTGATCGAGAGCCGAACCCGAAGCGGCCAAAGCTCGTGCAGTCAAAGTTGACATTTTTTGCGCCAAAGCTTCAACCTGGCGCACCCGCTGAGCAGCGGCTAGGCTTAGCTCCAACCAGACTTGCCCCAGAGGTTGTAGAAGCACGCCGGGAACGCGAGGAGGCGTACAGTACGCCCACGTGGGGCCTTGTGGCCAGGTACCCATACCGGTACCGGTTCCGACAGCGTTGCTGTCTCTTTCGTGCTCTCACGTGCTTTCGTCTTAAGCTCTCGGCTGAGAGCACGAAAGAGACATGAGCGAAGCCCGCTGCCGTGGGCCCATTTCTGGCATATCACGAATTTACGGGACTCGATGTGTAAGCTTTCTCAGGACCAATCACCAATTGCTGTATCGCATAGCAAAATCTTGACGTATTTTCTGTGGTATCACCATTAAATGGATCACCAATCTTGCTGATCAGTACGGTATCTCAATATGCTCCTACTGCCGGTATCCGCTCCAGCTGGAGTAGAGGGTAGGGGTAGAGGGTACGACAAACTGTCGGGCAGAGCAATTCTTTTGACTGCCCCGGTCGCACAATTCCCGTGCTTCCCTAATTCGACACCCTGAACACGCTAATTCTGACTGTCCGAATGTCCCTGCCAGGCCAATTCGACACCCTGTCAGCCTAATTCTGAATGTCAGAATGTCCCGCCAGGCTAATTCGTATCCCTGTCAGGCTAATCCTGACTGTCGGAATGTCCCTGCCAGGCCAATTCATATCCCTGTCAGGCCAATTCAAGAGCCTGTCCCGGCAATTCAACTTGTCCCAGGTGCCAATTTAAACCCTTCTACCGAGCAATTTAGACCAATTGCAGGGTCTGCCCCCAAACTCTCAGGCACGCGTTCAGAATCGCGGGAGTTGAAGGAACTTTACAAAACCAAGGGGAGCACTTACAAATATCTCTCGG